AGCTTCTCGCCCGTCGACTGAGATGCACCCTGTACACTGCTACGCAATTCAGAATCTACGCGGATCGAGGGTAGGGCGTAGGTAGATCGGAATTTATAGATATAGACGAGTGGCGGCATTTTGGCTTTTTTATATCGCAGTTTGTAAACAGCGCTTATTTGTAAACAACCCCCCGTTTTTAGAGAGGTATTTTTAGATAACAATCGATATTTAGAAATGTTATGACACCCTGGAAATACTACCACCGAGCACGTCATTGTTGCAACTTGCAACTGCGTTAGTACGCCTGGCGGTGACCGCCTCATACTCTTTCAGATATTTAGCAATAAAATAAAGAAACCTGTTATTTTTAAGCTGTTATTTTAAGCTGTTTTTTATAAATAACTATAACAGTTTCAACTCTTATCTAAAAATAACAGTTTTGCCCATCACTAATTCGGGGACTTCTTGGGCAAGTGGAATCGGAATATCGGTCGGAAAATTAGGCTATTTTAATCCCATTGCGGAAATTGGTCGGCGGTCCATAAAATCATCAAAATCCAACCACGTCTCTGACCAAATGTGTTTCGGAAGCCTTAATCCTTCTTTACGAAGACCTGCTATTCACCAACAGGGAATGCTTCACGAAACAGCAGCCAGTTCTTCACGACGATATTCTGACGATGGATACACAAGAAGTGATGCAAGGATTCGATTTCCTTCACAAAATCAGATTTCAACCGGAAATCTCCCTCCAGGATATAGATAGAGAACTATATATCTTGACTAGTCCCACTCACAAATAACGAATTTAACTACGAAATTTTATCTGATAATTATAAAATTACAATAACCAAAACAAAGGATAAATAAATCCAAAAACATCTGATTTGATCTGACAGTGACAAATGACGGAGGTGATGATCAAAGATATAGAGGTGGACAAAAATTCTAATGCTGGGCCAGTGACAATATTGTGGAGCTGTAGCTGTATAAAATCGCGGTGTATGTCGGGTCGCATAATCGTAAAATTTAAATAAAATAATATTTAACAATAAAATTATAGTAAACATGATGCAAAAATGATAGTTATTTGCGATAATTTATGAGCTCGCACACAGAGGTCGTAGCGATGAAATTTAACTGTTACACGGCTAATCAATAAAAAATAAGTATTGTTTTCACTTTTGCAACTAAATAGTCAACAGGATTTTCTCAAAAATATGCAGGTGAAGAGGTACTTTATACTAGAGATTATTAAGAAAGAAAAGCTCTTTTAAACAAGCCTAGTTTGTTTAAATCGGCTAACCTAAACCGGAGTTATCCTTATTTTAATAAAAGCAAGTTTAATTTTCCCCTTACCACATTATTGTATGAAATAGAGCAAAATATGCTATATAAAAAATACAAATTTCCTAGCGGACATTTTTCGAACTTGAAAATAATTTCTAGCGATTTCTCTTGGCCGATTTACTTATAACAAAGTTATACAATATATATAATAAATAATATATAATACTTATATATAAGTAGTTTCTGAGATGTAGCTGGCGTGCAGTCTTACTTGGCCACCTGACACACTCCAAACTAGATTACCAGATGGGCAAATAAAAAATAGTTAATTAAAAATACATTTACACGCGCTAAACAGTACCTACATTATATGCTCCCGTATACGGCGTTTAACGCCTTGGGAGTAACAAAGGTACAGCTTGCCATACTAGAGCCGTTCGGTATACAAGGAAGGTAATGTGGCTAGCACTACGCTTCAACTGTCTATTATTACCTCAGGATTGTGAATCCCAAGTACTCATTTCAGGCTGAGTCGACCTAGGTACCCAAACTATTTTTATTTTATTGAAAATAGTCGGCTGATGAAATGCCGGCTGTATGATTCGAACTGACAACCATTAGATTGGTAGACGAGAGTTGTATCTCTACGCTACCGGGCACCTTGAAACTTGAAAATGACTCAAACTAATCCGGGTATTTGTAAAATGACTGATGGGAAAATCAGTAAATACGAAATATCCCTATTGAAATATTAATATTTTTGAATCATTTTGCTATTCGTCATAGCACTTAGCAAACGCCTAGGTAAATGACGTCATTAAAATCACTTTTAAAATAAGCGTTAATTTTAACGAAATATGTAATTTAATAATAATATAAATATTTAATCTATTCTTTGAATAAGACTCGTTTAGTATCTGAAGTTCATATATAGCTCTATAAACATTATAATTAGCTCTTACCATGTCTATTATTATTTTTTTCCAAATATGTTACAGGATATACTCTAAAAATGGTGCAACGGACACATCCAACTCTACCTCCCTCAAAATTAATACTAGATATTGGTATAGGAAAAGGTGTAGCATTTTTCTGATAACCCAATTGTGCCCACCAAATAGCTCTTCTGGTAGAGTTATAATTTATTTTTAAGAATGTAGTGTCTGGTGCCTAAAATTAAAATTCATTCACGTTTAAAACAATAAATAATATAATTAATCCACACCTCTAGAGGAAAACATCCTTCGCAGTTCACAAGTTCAGCACCAGATGTTATTAATTTCACACCTAAACGAATTTTATTTTTTACTACTTGGTCACTTAAAGGTTTATCTATAACAGTTCTTATAGGATACCAGCCGTCAGTTAGTTCTAACTCATATGTGTCATTATTCTAAAAAAATACTTATAATATTATAATTAAAGTAACGATTAAAGAATAATCTACAACACGATAGAAAAAACGGCGTCAAAAACGGCTGGGGACGACAATCTATGAAAATTTTAGCGAGTTTAAGCCCTAGACGTCATTTACTTAGCCCGTACTCAATTTTTTAATGGCGCTTGCTGCCAGTTGGGCTTAGGAAGGTTTTGTGTATTATTTTTATATTAAGTAAAAACAAAGATATTTAAACTCAAGAGATACAATTTCTATAATTAGGGTTAATTTTTATATCAATTTTTAGTAAACGATGTCAAGAAATTGACCTCGCCAAAATTATCTTCTGCTGTCATCCCCATCCGTTTTTAACGCCATTTTTTTCGATCATGCGGTATAAGTATAAAATTACAGTTGAGGGTTGGAACCTTTGGCGTTACAGAGCAAAATATAATACACCAAAACACTTTTACTTTTACACTGGACGCGCGTTTCGCTAACCATGTCTTCGTTGTTCCCAAGTGTTCCAATTCCACATACTTTAGGCTACTTGAAGGAATTACTGAACGCAAATGGTCTCGACAACAAAATTGTGATTGAATAAATTGAGCTTACATCGTTATGTATGAAACAAAATTGTTTTCAATTTAATAACAACTTTTTTGAACAGCGGGAAGGTACAGCAATGGGTAATCCATTGTCTCCATTTTTGGCTAATTTATTCATGAGCAGGTTTGAGGTGGAGGCTAAGAATCAGTTTGAGTATTTTCCAAGAGTATGGTTTAGGTATGTGGATGATATTTTTGCTGTTTTTGACACACATTCAGACACCATAGATAATTTTATTTCTAAGTTAAATAATCGTTTTCCTTCCACTAAATTTACGCATGAAATTGAGAACAACGACATATTACCATTTCTAGATGTATTAGTTACTAGAAATAATAATAATTGCCTGGAATTTGATATCTATAGGAAAAATACCACTAAACGCAGATATATTCCTAATGAATCATATCATAGTGTTGAACATAAAATGGCTAGTTTAAATTTCTTAGTTCATAGATTACTTAGTTTTCCACTTTCCAGCGAAAGATATGAAATAGAAAGAGATTACATTAGGAATGTAGCTGAGTGTAATGGATATTCTCCTTCAATAGTTGATAAAATAATTAGAAAACGTAGGTATAGGTTAATGATTTCTGAAAATTCGACTTTTCAGGTGGAGAAAGATACGTCAAAATATTTTTCAATACCGTTTGATACAGAGTTATCCCGTGGTCTAAAAGGAATTTTTAAGAATGTCAATTATAAACTTGTGTATAGCGCTAATAATAAATTACAACAATTATTAGGTAATCCAAAGGATAAAACACCGCCACTGGAAAGGTTGGGTATTTATGAAATTTCTTGTAAAGATTGTTGTAAAATCAGAAATATGTTGGGCAAACTAGAGAGATCAATATTAACTAGATTTAAAGAACATTTAGCTCAGATAAGATAAATCTTGCGTTGCCGAACATATTGTTGATAAAGAACATTGTATAGATATTAATAATTTAAAATTAATTAAAGAAGTCTCAAATTACAGGCAATTAGATGCATATGAAAGCATCAGAAGTAATAAATGTAAAGATAGTATGAACAGAGACAACGGCCCAATTCCTTCAAGTTCTTTGTTCCTACTACTCTAGTGGCGGAAATTTAACTGTTACGCTCGGTGGGCTCTGACTCGGTTGGCTAGATCTTGCCACGCCCACTCGGTGCCCACTGAGCGAGTATATAAACGCTCAACTTGTAGATTGTATTTTAGTTTATAATCATCTGCTGATGATGCTAACATGGTTAGCGAAAAGCGCATCCAGTGTAAAAGTAAAAGTGTTTTGTTGTTTTGTGGTGATTTAGTGTTTTTATTTTGAAGTATAATATTGACAGATTTTTTTTAATATGTAAAAGTACATTTTACCTTACCTTTACAATTTTGGATACACACAATACCATAGTCTTTTTGGGGCAATCGTCCTTTTCAAAAATTTTCCTTAAAGCTGATCTCTTCACTCTATCAATTTCCATGTCGTACCTAACAGAAAACGATAGAATTAAACTTTTAGGAGCTAAATAATTAAACATAAATCTACCTGTATTTTAGCTGTTGAATTATATTTTCTAAATTAAGGCAACCCTCAAACTTTTTACACGTTCTTTCATAACTTGCGAGTTTCCATACAATCCATTTGAAATGATTTTTAATCCAGCCATTCGGAATAAGATTTGGATCCACGCCTTCAAGAATTTTAAAACTATGTTCGATTTCGGAGACGCCAACTCGATTATCCGTATTCGAGACTATAATAGCGCCATCCTGTGTTCTTTGATGAGAAATTCTGAAAATATGAATATATTCTCTCGAGCCTGTCAAGCAGAGGAGTACAACAACAATAAATATTTTTTTGCCAGTTCTTCCTACGTTGTTATTATAGTGTTTTGTAGCTAACGTCTAACGTCAATATAAACAGGACCTTTTGCCGCCAGAAAAAAGTAAATTTCAATTATGGAAGACATAAATATAGATGGTGAATATATAAATCTTTGAATAAAAGATTAAGGAAGGAGCATATCAAAAATCTTAGATCCACCGTGATGGGACTCAAATATGGCCGACTTAAATTCCGGTTGATCAGTGCCGTTCTAATTTTATATAAAAACTGTAAAACTATGATGTAGGGCAGACGTGGGGTAGACTCAATAATTTGTTTTTTTATTTTGCTTTGTGAATAAATGTTGGTAGTTATTAAAATTGTTATAAAATACATAATTCTAATAAAAATAGATCAGTTATAATAATTATTTATTAACACAAACATCCGACACGCTACTGAAGCAGGTAAGTCAAATTGACGTACATTAGAACTTCGGTAATCCGGAAAGATATAGTTTATGTATCTAAATTCTTTAACATCTAATCTTTGACAAGTAGTAAATAAAAGCAAAAATGCAAGAAAAAATATATAATTAATTAATTTAAGTGAATTTCATAAATGATTGGTTTACTACAAGTATGTATATTATATAGTCACTTACTGGCGAAAAGTTATTATATTATTTCATTCATTTTTGACCGAGACCTGCCATTTCTTCTGCAATTTCCATCTAGATTTACTACCTTTATACAACTATCATAGTAGAATAAATAACATAAAAGAAGCTCAGTAAAGACTGACAAATCTACAAAATTTCAAATCAAATTCAAATGTGTTAAATGAATCGTCAAACAGAACTGTCAAGGATCCCCACCCTAGAGTCCTTTTTCCGCCCACCATGCATGAATACAGACCATGCATGGATTGTAGTTATACTCCTTCCTTAATCTTTTTATTCAAAGACTACAATGAACAAAACAAACTTTATTCAATTTTATCATTTCATTGACAGCAATTCCCGAAATTCTGTAACAATAATATAAAAGAATTGCTAATTTAATTACCTTTTATCTAAAACAAAATGAACTAAATGAGCGTTTTGAGGGTTAACTTGATTTATAAGGCCTCCGTCCATTTCTTCAATCCATTCATTACCTATAACATCTTTTAATGATAACTTTCTGGGTTTATTTAGTTTTGAGCTGTATAATATACCGGGTTTTACAGTATTTCTGAAAAAGCCATTGTTTAAAATATATACTTATAATTAAACTCTAAGATTAAAATATACAAGGTGGCCCATTAGTGCGAGGGAGTCCAATATCGTCGTCGTTGTCGAAGATATGAAAAAAAATTATACAGGTGGTTTATATAGGCATGTTCGGTCCTCCGGTATACCTATCGATATGGTCTTTGACAAAACCGGTACCGGGAGACCGGTTTTGGTAGTGATATCAAAAAACCGTTATCGGAAGACCGGTTTAAATCGACAAAGAACCGTCAGAAAACGGATAGCAACGAGACGTTGTGTTGTCTGGCGAGACGCTAGCGAGACCCGTATTCGTTTAGCAAATTTGGAATGTCTCGCGCTCGTCTCGTTAGGTCTGTACGCACCTTAATATTGTTACGGATTCCGTGGGCCCACTAATTTAAACTCACGATAAAATACTTAACGATTTATTTTCTCACTTTATACACACAATAACTAACTAATAACACATATTTAACTACTTATAAAACTCCTTCGCCAAATTGTCCGATTCGTAATAATTCAAACGCGGTATATTTAAACTTCAAAAAACTGTCAACTACCAAAGCGCGGGCCTTTATAAAACCCCCTGGCGAGTGTTTCTGGAACGTTCTAAAGAATTCTGCAATTTTCTTTTATTTTCTGGCGAATTCGCCAGGTTCCTCAATGCACGTTGCGGTTATGTAGCAGTAATGCAGTTATGCAACCAGTAATACAGTTTAGCTCTACATACACCTTGACAATATGATCTTAGATATTTTATCGTTGAAAACCCCATATGTAATATAAAACAGCGAATCCTTTAAATACAAAAAATATTTTAATTCGGCATCTAAACGAAAAATAATATACAGAGTGTGGCCTTCAAAAGAATAGAGATATGGCATTTTAAATGTTCCAATTTTGTTGACTTCAAAAAAATACCCTGTATACTGTATAGGATGTTTTACATTTTCTTTCGGATTTATTCTGTTATCCTTGGTGTTTAGGAAAATATAGCTAAGTATTAATAAAGTTATGTTCATTCCAGTTTTTAACCACTTTTCGGATATAGCGTTTTTAGTAAATTAGAAATAGAATGGCAACACCGCATAGTGCTTCAAATAAAAATAGTGTACTATACCGGGTGCGTCTCTAAAGTGGTTCACCCCTATAACTTTTTTATTTTTTTCAGATAAAACAACGAGATTTGGTATGTTAGTATATGACATAAATTAGGATTGATTGACATACTCAATTGTTTTCGGTCACTTCCGGTTTCACCGGAAATTAGTACAACTTTTGGTTTTTAAATGGCACCCTCGGTATGTACATACATACAACTACAGTTGTACATACATACAACTTTATTCGGCAGAAAATGACACTCTGAATAGAATGACATATCATATGTCAACTTTTGACATTTTCGCATATGGTTTATTTGAAATTGTAACGGTTCATGACGACAATTTGACTCGAAATACCAAGTGTGTGGTATCAAATTAATTATGATGCTAATGATCCACCCTCATTCCATTTGAAAAAATTGAGATATGATAAAAAATACGATTTGGGCATCTTTTAACTGGCCAGGACAAGACACTGAAAACATTAGACGATCAAATATATGTCAGCAGTTATTCAGAGTGTCATTTTCTATCCAATAATGTAAAAAAATACCGAGGGTGCCATTTAAAAATCAAAAGTTGTAGTCATTTCCGGTGAAACAGGAAGTGACCGAAAACAATTGAATACGTTAATCAATCCTAATTTATGCCATATACTAACATACCAAATCTCGTTTTTTTATCTGAAAAAATAAAAAAGTTATAGGGGTGAACCACTTTTGAGACGCACCCGGTATACAGAATTTTATGCTAAATCCAATTATCTACAGAAAAATGGGCGGTACAATGTAGAAAAAAAAACGTAAAACTTTATCATAACTTTTTTTGGTTTGGTTCATCCTGTATACAACAAAATATTTTTAGGATAGGCACCATCATGCAACAACTGCATAGAACTTTTTTCCATATCTTCGACAACAACGACGATATTGGACTTTCTCGCACCAATGGGCCACCCTGTATACTATATTAGCACAGATTATACAGATTATAATCTTTGTTTTTTCTTTATTGTTATTCGTGGTTCCAATTTTCGGAATCGGGCACTAGTTAGGTGACTAGTTTGCGCACATAGCACGCCCACTTATGGCCTCTAAAATTGTGCACAGCGCCTGACCGGCACACAGTAGGCAATATGTCCAAACTAAGTTGCAAAAAATAACATCCACAGTTAGCATTTATGGCAATAACATTAGATTGGAAACATATTAGTTAAGAGGAAACCACATAAAACTAACAAAAAAACATATTCGGAGTCTCTTTCGAGGGGCTGTAAAACGAATTTTGCGCAAAACCTACATTTTCAGTTAATTTGTGTCCAATAACTGCCTTTTTTCTACAATTTTTTAAATAGTAGGCGTTGCATTCAAGTGATACAGTATTATAACAATTGAATCGGACGACCTTAGCTTACTGTCAATAATTATTGTAAAATTGTCATAACGTGTTTTACGTAGATTCCCGGTTGCGGTAAATTTAATGTGAAGGTAAGTAAAAAAGTATCTTTTATTTTGATTTTTTGGATTAAAACTAGGTAAAGGTCAAAGTAGAACATAATCATTTAAGGTTTTTTTGATAGTGGCATATATTCTATCTTAGAAAAGTTAAGTCAAAAAAATCGCAAAAAATCGCAACATTAAATTTATTGGAAGCGTAAGCCTCCATGCGTATGTATATAGTAACATCCTTTATGTGGATACTTCTCATAAATTAATTGTTATAGTAGGTAGAGCTAGAGAAGAACTTGAAATATAAAGTTACGTAACTTTTCTCAAGATTTCCGAAGAGATATGTCATAAATGTCAAATAACATTTTTTGACAAATTGACAAATTTTGACAGTACATAATTTTTTAAATTAAATGAAATGGATTTTTCTTTCAGATTTAAAAATGTGCACTTCGTGACCATTGCTTTCAGCTGTTATAAAACAAAATATCAGTAAACAGTAGGTGGTAAAATAAAATTTAGATATTTTTAATAGGTATAAGTTCTGTTATTTTCTAAATCGTCATTGTTTAATTCTCAGAATATTGTTACTTATTTAAAATATAATAATAAAATATTGTTCACATATTGTCTGGTATTATTAGAGAACCAACTTATTTAAATGACAAACAATCTTGAATAAAAGTTCGATTGGATTAGTATACAAGGGTTTTCTTTTATACATTGACACCCCCTTTATCTTTTTTATTTGACGTTTCCGAAAACTGTCTCAAATGAAAGTGGTTTTGAATAAATTTGTCAAAAAAGTCTATTTCGCATATACAAAGTGCTTCAAAAAGTCTGGGCGTGGTTCAACTATCTTATTTCAAATTAGGTATAGGCTATGCTACAAAAAAGTAGTTAGGATTTTTAGGAGAAAATAAAAATCAAATAAAAAATTGGGTACTAATTTGAAATAAGAAAGTTGGGCCACACACAGGATTTCTAAGGCACCCTGTATATGCAAAGAAGACTGTTTTGAAAAATGTATTCGAGACCATTAAACTTTTATTCAAGACACTTTTTTCGAAAACGTCGAATAAAAAAGATACAGAGGATGTCAATATATAAAACAAACCCTGTATATGGCGGAGGAGTAATAATTGCTCAATGTTTGTCTGTTTCATCTTGGCTCTGCCAAAAATCGTAAAATTTAGTGAAATGTAAAATATTCTTACCGCATTTTGGTAGCTGTATTAGTCAAAAGATGATTTTTCCATTTTATGAATCCCCTCCACCACCCCCAACCACTCTCAAGTCAGCCAAAACTAACAGGGTTCACGGCCTACTGGCATAGAATGTTTTTACCAAATTTGAATAAAATCGTACAAAATAAGAATTTTTGCAACATACTTCTGGATTTTTGCCCACTGTGCGGCCCAGTTATTAGAGAGATATCGCAAAACCGAATAGCGTCATGCAGTATTTACGCGTACCTTATCATGGTCAGTCAGTGGCGCATCTAGAGACTGACTCTGGGAAGGGTAGTGGTAGTATTAAGTAAAGTACTAGCCTTACCCTTACTACATTTAAATTAAATTTACTGAAATGTATTGTGACTATGAAAAAAAAATAACTTTGATGGGTTTGAATTTTTTATTTTAAATGGTTCTTATTAATTTCTTTTGTGACAATTTTATTTTAGACCACATTCTAGCTTATTTATAAATTTCTTTCTGGGAGGGGTAATTACCCCCATTACCCCTCCCGTATATGCGCCCCTGTGGTCAGTCATGGTTACTATATGCGCGAGTCAATTTTTAACGCAATGCCCGCTAATAACGTTACCGTCTGACGTAATTTGCGGATCAATTACACCAAGCGCTATTTCTAAATAACGTTTAAAAATTGCTTAAATGGGCATGTGAGGGTATTTGACAACCGGGGCCGGCCGGCGAGATCTTTTATTTTAGGTTATGTTTGAATTGTTTTGAATTATTACTTTAGTTTTATTAGGTAATTTGATATTTAAGTGGCTTGGATTAGTTTTAATTAAATAAATATGGCCCAAAATATGGATTCCACCTCTTCCAATATTAAAGAACCTATAAAGAGACTTATTAGGATTACAGCAGATGACGACTTAGCCCTTCTAAGAGAATTATTTGTTGCTTGTTGCTCTAAACCCACTGGCAGACATTGAACAATAAAGCACTTTAGCCCTTTAGTTTTAAAATACCTAGTAAACAAAACAATTTCAAAGTTTTAAATTCAAAGTTAGGTTAAGTTTAAATAGCGGACGCGACGCGAACAGAATTCTTTCCGATCCAATAACTATAAATGAAGAGAGTTAATACCACCTCACGTAAAGGAAATAACATCTGGCCTTATTAACGTCCATGCACGCTATTCGGTTTAGCGATATCTCTCTATTACGCTGTTTATTGTTATTTTACGGGAGTTTATTTTTGCGAACAGGAAATTTGACTCGTTTGCACATCGTCATAAAAACAACTTTCGTACCACGAATTAGGGACAAGATTTTTATCTGTATACATATAGTATACTTAATCTGTGATATTAGTGAGAATTAAAGTATTACCTCTTTTGACTTGACTTTGTTGTATCTCATATTTCTGACTATTTAGTAGATTCTCTTTCTCTTTTATAACTTCTAACTTTTCTTCTAGCGCTTTTCTCTCTGATAGTAAATTTTCTATCCATACAGAGACATCTCCATTAGTTGGTCTATTTAGATTGTAGCGAGTATTCGAATTGAATTCGTTCACTAACGTTTGGTCTTTTACTGCTGTTTGATAACTATCTGATAAATTACTTTCACTCATATACTCCCTTCTTAAAGCTAGTTTACTATTTTGTATAGGAGTTAAATCACATGCTATAGGTTTGTAACTCGATTCGTTCTGTTTCATTGGTGTTGACGTTGTCGGTTTGGACAGGATGTCGTCAAAGATATGTTGAGCCTTTTTATATTCCGACTGATCTATAAGGATTGTTGGAGAAAAATTACATCCTAGTCTTCTCCTAGATCTTTTTGAGTTGTTATTTATAGGAGTACCAACAATATTTTTTTCACTGACTTGATTATATTGGTCTGATTCTAATTCAGAAAACTTTCTTTTATTATTTTTATCACTTCTGACCTTTATATCAGCTTTTGATAATAATTCGTCCGATTTTAATCGCACAATTTTGGCCAAATTTTCTATATTTTTTGTGTTTAATAAACTTTTTTTACTTCTTGTTCTTTTAATATTATTAAATTTGTTACTAATAATGTTAATAATATCACAATAGCTCTCTGATATTTTCTCGCTTATATCTTGCTCTGTATTGTAAAACCCCAAAAATTGTTCCTGGTCTTCTCTGACTTCAATTGTTGTACTAAGATTTTTTAGTTTATATGGACATGTAAAAGGTTTTTTATTACTTTGTAATTTGCTAGTCCTCGACAAAGGCACAACATTATTGACTTTGTTTCCTGAAAAAATATACATTTCATGAGTTTAAACATATCAATATAATAGTCCTAGAAAATAGTTGAAGACCTAAAATACAAATGTTTAGGAAAAAAATGAATTTTTAATATAAGTTACTTTGACAGACACTAGTATGGTGGGAAGCGGTACTTAAAGAGACTAATAGAAAAAGCCTCACAAAAGTACAGCGATTTCAGCAATCAATCGACTGGCTCGTGAAGGATCTGGCCGCTAAGGGTAGGCCTGTTCCAAACAACGGAACACCGTTTTAACACCGATGGCCAAATATCGGCTATCCCGTGTTTCGGTGTCGACACAGACACCGGTGTTTACACCGACACCGATGTTGATACCGACACCGGTGTTGACACCGACACCGGTGTTCATCTCGACACCGGTGTTGGTTTGGACACCGGTGTTCATCTCGATATCGGTTTTGACTACCACACCGGTTCTGATATCGACACCGGTGTTTGGCAAACGGATTAAAGAAGAAATAATTTTAATTAATAAGTTCAAAATAATGGTGCTTGTTTTTATCGTTTATTAAAGCGCACCGACTTAAAGCTTTCAAATTTAAATATAATTTTTTGCCAGACTAATCACTAAAATAAAGTGGAAGCGTCAGATACTTAAACAACTATAAAGTAAAAAATTGTTTAATCAAAAACAAATAGAAAAAAAAACATAAACAAACAAAAATTTGTAGCTGTAAACAAACAAACGGCACCATCGACATCGACACCGACACCGGTGTTGATCTCGACACCGGTGTTCATTGCGACACCGGTGTTCATTGCGATACCGGTGTTGAGATAAACATCTTTTGAGGAAATTCTTTAGATATTAGTAGGATATTGATACTACAAAAAAGAATGATACGAACTATGTATGGAATGCATTTGAACGATAGCTGTAAGGGTGTATTTGTCTCAAAAAATATACTAACTATTATTAGTATTTATGTCATGGAATAAGTGTTATTTGTAAGTGATAACAAAGATCTATTTTTAGAATGCAATAGGATCATAATCATAATACAAGACTGTACAAAAATTTAAAATCAGAAAAATGTAATTATACCTTTGTTCAACAAAATGTAAAATTTAATGCTGCAAAAATTTACAATTCTTTTCCCATAGCTATTAGAAACTCGCCAAGACAACAAAATATTTTTAGGATATGCACCTTTTTAAACCGTGCAACATTTATATTAAACTTCTTTTCATATTTTTGTCAACTAAGATGATATTCAACTTCTTAGCACTAAAGGGCCATGTACAGTTCGTCTGCTGGATCTGTATCTATGAAAGGAATGCGTGCAAAAAACATTTAAACAAACAGCAATATATTTTATACGTCGACTTGACGAGTACGTCACCGCAAATCGCTCCGCCCCACGGTGGGGTATTAGCATGAAAAAGGTGATCGAAATTCGAAAAAGCAAATGTGTTTAAGATTTCCCAAAAAAAGATAAATGATAAGTTAAATCATCTCTGCCATGAATGGCGTTGCTATGGGTGTGTTTAGTTGCATTCATTTGTTTCAACGAAACGTCAAAGTTGTTACCATAGACTAATGTCACGTACTAGAGATAGATTGGACACTGATATAAAACAAATGGGTCCGTCATCCACCTGGTGATCCGGAAGAAACTAATGGAGAGTTTTGGCATAACATAATTTTAGCGTTTCGTTACTTATTAACGCTAATTAAAACGGTAACGTTATTCAAGCGCAAAATTATTCCTTGTAAAATATAAAATAATAAATATATAGACTTTTTTACTGCCATTTTATGTTTTATTAGATCATTAGAAGTGTAACATAATTACAACAAAATTAAAATTATAAATACATACATTTTAAACACCAACAATAGATCACATAGCGCCTATTTTTTTGATTTAACAACTAAATTATAATATTAGTAAAAATATTATAGACTACTAATTAACTTTTACTAAAAATACTATATATTACCAACTATGTACTTACTTATTTATGATTAAACTATTTTTTTATTTGGTTTATAAATTATTATTTCTAAAATGTCAAAATGACTTTAATTAAAAAGTTTAGTATCTAACACGAAAATGATGGTCGACTGTAAGTATCAGAATGCACAAACTAATAAAAACACAAACTATAAACACAAATCACTGAACTTTCCGACAAATCAGGAATATCTGAATTAATAATTATTTAAATAATGATTTAAAAATAACTTGACGGATCACCAACATTTTGTCAACTAGACAAAAACTAGACCATAGACAATAGTTAACATAGAGACTGTCATGTCATCTTCATAATATAAATTAGAAACCTGTACTTTAATGTCTTTTGCGCCGTCTGGCGTTGCGGAAGAAACTAAATTTGTAGTTCTATAAAATTACCATTGAGTGTCTAGGGCATGGTTGTTACTTCTCACAGATAAGAGGTAAATGGCTAAATTTTATGTTTAAAATTATAAATTGTTGTTGTTCTTGTGCTCTTTTTACGTTTATATTATTGTTTTGATTGAAAATGGCTCAGCAAGCTGCAGGTATGTATTCTACAAAAACGTATTATTTATTTTGATATTCTCTATACTAACGATTTTTTTTGCAACTAAAAGTTAGGCGTTCAGAAAATTTGATTAAATTTGTGACATTTTTATTATACTTAGAGATTTAATTGCGCATTTCAAAGAATTCAGCATATTGTCTATATACGTTTTACCTAGTAAACATTGGGCTTTCATACAGTAAAATAAAACACTGCGACTTTTTGCGATTTTGCTGATAAAATGAGAAAAACATTCTTGGTTTCCTCTAATTTGCCAATCAGTGATATACTAATGCGAGGTGTAAACCGCGATGGACTTTAGTGGTATGAGCATTGCTCGCGGATCAGTCGTAGCATTAGTAGTAGTAGTTGCGATATTACTACTGGCACTGACCGTGGAAACACTGGAACAGTGATTTTTCTTTCTTTTTTTAGAATCGACGAATTATCCTTTATTTTGTTCATATTATTTCCTCTTTAATTGAAAATAGCAATAATTTATATAAGGTCTACATAAAAAATTTTCGATCAACTATCAGTGTCAAATACCTACTAAAATGTCAATAATACAGTGCGCCCACTCATTTTATTGACTACTTGCAAATTTGTCGAATTTTTATTGATGGGACGCGTCGTCTAATTTTTTACGAAAAACATCGAGAGAATATCGTTTCCCCTCTCACGGATACCCCGTAGCCTTAGAACGGACAGACGTACTGTATATTATAACACTTTTTAGTATAATTATTAGTTAATATTGTGTAGTATATATATATATATATATATATATATATATATATATATATATATATATATATATATATATATATATATATATATATATATATATATATATATATATATATATATATAAGTCTACAAACTTCAATAAATTTATTAATATTATAAAAAAATCTTTGTATGTTTAACTATTCAAATATGTATCATTTTTGCCAATTTAAAGTATATAAACTTACCTTCCAAAGCTTCATATGTATTTTCACCTTTTTCAATATTTGCTGGTTTGAAATGACTAACAGATCTAGCAACATTATGTATATTAGCTAAATTCATATTTAAGTCATCAAAATTCTCCCCTTCAAATATGTTTCTAAAATTTGACCTTCTTTCTGGAAAATGTGTAGCAGCCTTAATATTTTGATTTGGAAATGGATTTGGATGAATTGACTTCTTTTCTTCATTACAATTGTCAGTGATCTGAGCTTGCTTTAATGATGTAGTTGCTGCTTTAAATCCTTCAAAATTTCTTACTCCTAAATCATCAAAATTTTCACCGTTAAATATATTAACGTGAATTGAAACACAATTTTCATCATTCATTGCATTTTGATCTGCACTCAAATATTTTGAATTTTCATCTCTGTGTTGATATATGTTATCTTTTCCCAAACCAACTTTATATGTGTCTTCAAATGCTGCTAAACTAGTCGATGCTACTTTAAAGCCTTCAAAATTGTTTGTTTTGAGATCATCAAAGTTTTCTCCACCAAAGATATTATTACTTGATTTATTTACCACCGTTTTATTTATAGAAATGGTTTCAGACGTGGCACTTTTATTATTAACTTTAAAATTTCTTATTCCCAAACCATCAAAATTTTCATCTTTAAAAATATTAACATGATTTAAGATAGAATTTTCAGCATTAATATAATTTTTATCTTCACAAAAATGTTTAGAATTTTCATCTTTGTGCTGATGTATGTTATCTTTTCCCCAAGTAACTTTATATGTGTCTTCAAGTGTTGTTAAACTAGATGATGCTACTTTAAAGCCTTGAAAATCACTTGTTTTAAGATCATCAAAGTTTTCTCCAGCAAAGATGTTTTTACTTGATTTATTTATAGCCGCTTTATTTATAGAACAGCTCCCAGAAGGTACAGAAAGGGTATTTTCGCAATTAATTTTAAAAAGTTGTCTAGAACTACCAGATTTTTTTACATGTACAGGCAGTATTGGATTCAAACTTTCCAAGGTATATTCTTGAAGATCACTAAAATCTTCATCATGACAAGTATTTTTTAATGGCGATCTAAAATTATTTCTGTTATTATCTTCAATTAATGAATTTTTCAAAGAATCTTTTCCCACTCCATGGATTCTTTTTGATCTATCATCAGAATCTGCATATTTGACTCCCTGATCAATATTTCCAAAATTAGATGGAGTATCAACATCTATTCTTGAGTTATCTTCCATTGCTGGTTTATGTCGTAAGTAATTAAATTTTTTACTCTTATCATGTGGAACATTATTATATAAGATATCATCGAATAACTTAGAATGCATCTGTACTTTGTCTTTACACATCTCAATTTTTTTACCTGTACAAGTCTGAAAACCGATGAGGAGGTTCGGTTGATCTAATTTAGTTTGATCACTTTTCACACAATCCTTCATAGACAAATGTGTACAATTAATATCAGTACTTATTGAACCTAGCTGCGGAACTAGTTTTTTATCATGATGTACCTTGGTATTTTCAGCTAGTAAAGTTGCTTTTGTACTTAATAGTTTGATAGTATTCTGATTCTGTTCTTCAGCTTTTTCAAGTTCATATATTCGACTAAATATGTTTAGTGTATCTTTAGAATTCCCAACAGCATCATATTTATTACTAAACTCTGCGTTTGAAGTACTTTCATCGCCAGCTGTCCTTAATACTTCTTTAGCATCAAATATATCACAGGATTTACGTTTATGTTTCTTATTTCTACGAATTTTATTTAAAGATTTACTGGTGTTTAAAATTGGTGATAGCGGTGATTTTGGTGTATTCTCGCACTCCACAAAATTACACTCATCTTCCACATTATTAGTTGGATTGATACTCTTATTATCCATTCTTATTTGCGTTTAAATATTAAAAAAATCTATATATTTACAAAAGATGTATTTACAACACTTTTAGGTTATTACAGAAATTTAAAATTGTAAAACTAAAGCAGAGTATAGGCAACCAGTAATATGTCCATGTTATGTGGGTCATTTTTTCCTTTTTATATTTATTTTTTTTATTTTTTAAACTATACATAAATATTCAAGATATATGTAGTAGTAATTATAATTTAGATATTTTTCTGTATAAACTACACACATATATTGCTGGAAATAGCGTAGAGATATACAATGATGAATTTTACATTTACAAAACTTATCATCTATCTTCAGAGGGTCATAATGGGCATGCGCATAAAGTATATTGGCGCGTGTAAAACCTCTTTGAAATGGAAAGAACGGAAGAACTGTTTGTTTACCTGTTCAGTATCGTAGTTTTTGCTGTTGGGTTAACGTCTAAATGATGTTATTTATAATAATTGCGAGGAAAACACCGTAAATTAATTTAATATGAAATAAACTAATAAGTGTATCTATTTAATTTTTTTTTATACATAATTATACGCGCGGCAACATGTGTGACCAAAACGGGAAAAATATAACGAGCGATAACTTTTTCAATAACGATAATTTTAAAAGTTGCTTTGCGCGAAGTGTTGTTGTGAATTCCCAATACAAACAGACAAAACTACAAGAGCCCGATGAGGATTGTACATTAATTGAAAACATACATATTAACCAGGTTCCTGTTATAAGTATTGCCCAAGAAGCGCCGGTTAGATATAGAAAGGTAAGTTGCAATTATAATTTGTATAACATAATGCTATATTTGTATATTTTTTATGAGAATATTCTTGAAATTTAAGTAAAGTTTGCATTCCATTCATGTTCTATATTTAACCAGTTTAAAATATCTGGCCCGTTCAACCGCACAATATGTGTTTGACAAAAATATTATTAGAAAGAATTTTAGTTTTTCAAACGCGCGAGGGAAGTAAAAATATACTATACAGGAATACCACTATATTATGCATACTGAAAAAAGTATAATAATAGTACGCAAATCAGATTTAGTTTCGAAATGTTTATTATTTAATTTTATGATGGTTATTTGTAAAGAATATTATAATATTTATTATTTGCTATTATTGGATAATGAAAAGTTGCGGGGTGTGAGCGTAGACGTTGTGCATGTTTTATGAATATAAACCATAGAGATATTAAACCGATTATATACACTATATTACATATAAAGCCCCATACTCACACTTCGCTACTTCACTTCGTTCCTTCCTCGCGTCCCTTCGTCAAAAAATCATATATTTACTATGGGAAAATATCGATTTTATGCGACTGTGTGTTCCTTCCTCCTTCGTCAAAACGCTACTTCGTCCATTTACTTCCTCGAAACGCCCCTTCCACGTATTGTCTGTTTTTGGAGGAAGTAGCAAAGGAATTATCACCAACACAAAAAAATATTAAAATATATAAATCGATCTTGGATTTCATTCGTAGTTGATTTCTTGATTTGGCAGTATGTCTGTACAGGGTGTCATTTTCGTGTGTTTTGCAGGGTTTCTCGTTTATGAGTCGAAATACAAAGATGCAGTTTTCACATTACGCTGTTACTTTTTTGTGAAACTAAAGATGCTACATACAGATATGTCCTAGCTCTCTTACTTCCTAAAATACAGGGCGAATCTGAAATTATTGCATTTTTCGATCCCCTTTGTATCATAACTTATCTTAGACTTATCGAAAAGGTGAAAACGGTCTCCCGTACAGTTTTTCACGTAGAATGTAGTGACGTAACTATTTCTTCGTTGGAATCTGTCTTTTTTTAAATTGACTAAAACTTTATGTTTTTTTAAATACGATATTTTGTATATTACTTTATGTTCCTTGTTACGAGCTTTCTAAAATACTTATTTTCATAAACGGGTAAAAATGCATTATTTAACTTTATTACATAGTCGGCCGGTTTAAATTAGGTAATCAAAACAATCAACTAATTTATTCGACGTAAAATGTTGGTTATTGGCATGTTATTTAAAAGCAGCACAAGTTCAGTTTCCGTGTAGTTTAGCAAAATATCACGATGCAAAGCAAAATTATCTGGTAAAATTAAGTTAAATAAAATAAGAGCCGTTTAGCAGTTTAGCAGTACCTAAATAAATAAATAAATATAGAGTATATTATAATTTTCGAAAGCTCATAACAAGGCAAATAAAATAAAAAATAATATATAGAGTGTCCTGTTTAAAAAAAAAGAACATAAGTTTGAGTCATTTTTCGAAATAGACGAAGAACCACTTTCGTCACTGCCATTCTACCTGAAAAACGAGACACGGGCGGTGGGTAAGTTCTACTCAATAGGTAGAACAAAACAAAAAATCAGGGTATCCGGTATATACCTGTACATTTAGATGAACAGTCTAATTTTATAATAGGTATTTCCAACGACCGCATATTATAGTAAATACCCGATATAATACCAGTAATGTCAGGAATACGAGTATATCTACAATATTTCTTATATATTTTGTAGATATTATATATTGGTATATTTCTATTCCCCGGTATTATACCGGGTATTTACTATGCGGTCGTCGGAAACTCCTTTTATTAAAATTAGGATGTTCATCTAAATCTACAGGTATACACATAAATACCCAGATTTGATTTATCTACAAATTGGGTACTTACCCACCGCCCATCACTGACCCTTTTCACCTTTTCGATAAGTTAGAAGATAATCGAGATACAAAGGTTATCGAAAAAATGCATAAATTTCTACTAATTAAAAAATAAAAAGTAAAAAAAAAGATATAAGAAATAACTTTAAACTAAGAAGGCTAGGATAAATACATATTTATCCTAGCCTTCTTAGTTCAAAGTTATTTCTTATTTCTTATGTAGCATATTTAGTTACATAATAAGTAGAACAATGATGTGAAAACAGCATCTTTATATCTCTACTGATAAACCAGAAACCCCATAAAACACACACAAATGGCACATCCTGTACATCTAGCAATCGCCAGTCGATATAAAAATAATTCACACACAATAGTCTAAAAATGGAAGAAAAAAACAATATTGTCTTCATATTTGTGAAAAAATGCATGTCCATATTTATGTAATCGTAGCGACAAAAATAAAAAAATAGAAATAATGTGCATGATGCCTTTACAAAAATATCTGAAGAAATGGGGATTGACATCATTAACGTTTAATTATATAAATTACATAATAAACATTACTCTATTGTTGACTCGCCTTGTACATTCATACTGATATACCTTGTACATGATACTGAAATATTCGGATTTATTAAAAAAAAATATATTATTAAAATTCAATTTTTATTTTTGACACGACAAAGAATTGCAGTTTTATAAAATAAAAATTATGCGCCGGATTTTTTTAAAAATTTTAGAGGTTACTAGATATTTCGTATTAAACATGTAGCTGCTATATTAAAAATATTTTGTGGTGTGTTGTTGCATAACTGATTAATTTCCAAGCATCGAATGGACGAAGGAAGGAACCGAAGGGACGAAGGAACGCGAGGAAGTAACGCGAGGAAGTAAGGCGAGGAAGGAGCGAAGTGTGAGTATGGGGCTTAACACTTAATAATTCTTAAGTATATCTACCTTCAAACGCGGGTGAAATACTCCTCTATATTAATGTAAAAAATACATAATGAGTTTTTTTACACTTTTTTAAAACCCTTTAAAATTATAAAACGCTTTTATATACATATTTTTAATTAGAATTTTTTTGTAATATAGATAGATGATTGGGTAATAAAGATAAGTAATCTTTATTTCCCAAAAATATGCATAGAATAAGCCCCATATGGACATGGACATGGAAATATGGAAACATTTTATCGCATAATGCAAAACAAAAAAAAAATTAATAGTAATTAAATTAATAATATATAAAACTATCTAAAACTATAAATTCTATAAAATATGCAGTATGAGTCTTAAATAAGTGCAAATATTTTCAGGGTTGGTAGATCTCGATAAAAGAAACATATATTTTCTCTTTACCGTTTTTCAAATAAATCCAAAATAACCGAGTTATTTTGTTAAAATTTTGAGAACCATTGGATCTTTTCTTTCTTGTAAATTTAATCTACTACCTATGTTACCATATTATCACGAAATTATGTTTTTAACTAAAAACAAAAAAAAATCGAAATTTTTTTTCAAAATATATATTCCAAATTTTTCAAAAACATTTTTCGCGAAAAAAAACTTATAATCGTCTTTCTGGGGTCAAAATATACAAACCCTAAAAATATTCGCACTTATTTAAGACTCACCCTGTATATTAAGTCTTATATGCTTATATGTATACAGGGTGGCGCACCTCATTCGCCTCGGTTGATTATACGAAAACGGAAAGATGTGGAAACAAAATATTTTATGAGTATATGTGGGAAGGCAATGAGCATAACTTAAAATTATTTTAAAATGTACAGGATGTGTCAGAACTAAAGATCCATACCAAAGTTATATTTTTTCTTATGCTACACCCGATATTTTATTTAATTTTTGGATTCTTAGACATAAAATAAGGCATTTATTATAAGGATTTAATATGTTTAGAAGCTTTGGTTTTTGAGATATTTAAAGGTATTTAATTTTGCATGCTATAATAAAAAAGGTTGTTAAGACCCTGTACATTACTTTTCAGAATTAATTTTTGTGCTGACTTTCAAGCCAGAGACCCAAGAAATAAACTTTACTAAAAAATTTGATTGCTTCCTTAAATGTATACAGGGGTATCAAAAACTTCGTTATTTCAAATACAACACAATGTATTTTTTAAATAAGTCGAACCAGATTTAAATGCTCTTTCAAACTACATTAGGGTTTCCTATACCTATATATTTGGCTTAGATTTTGAATAAAAAGCGATTTTTCAATAAAATTGTAATCAAGATGCACACGGGAAAATAATGAAAGTACCAAAAAGGGGAGGGGTTTAGGTACCTTTTGGTACCTAAATAAACGGGAATATCGATAACGGCCACATAGAAACAGGCATTTAAAAATGGGGAAAACGATATAAACTCGGATATAAAAGTCCATGCGTAATTTGAATTAAAAAAAAACCTTTTTGTTTTCCTGAACATTTATCCCATTTCTGGATACTCATCGTTTTTCCCATGTGCTCGTCAATTGTTATATTTACTGTTACATAAAATGTTCGAATTGTCAATAAAATTGACAATTCGAACAAAACAAGTAAAACACTATTTTTGGTTCATCCTATGCGTCGGACCGAAAACAAAACTAAAATAAACCTGGAACGCTGTGTACACGTCGAGCAACGGATGTAGACTGACCCAAGTCTACAAGACAGGCGGGGAGCGGCGGGAGGAATTTTGATACGGGCGAAGAGTGGGTCAACTGATATATTTATATTCTTTAAACTGTGTTGATACGTTTTCACTGAGCAGGTGGCAAGACGTAATGTGTACGTGTAGACTGGGCTTTACAACAATTACTATACTTCAACAGAAATTACAGTTTTAGCAGAAACTCAGACGCTCTTTGATATTTTTCGTAACTCTTAACAGCTATTCGTATTGCTGTCCGTCTAATTTACCGGAAAGTTGTTTTTTCCGGTCTAAGGACTGCGAAGGGACATTTTCCATTTCGATCCATCCGACGCAATTAAGTAAACATAAAAAAAGACAACAGAAAATTTCTCGTCTTTGTTTAAAGCGCACGTTGCCATACGAACCTTGAAAAAAGACAAAAGGGGTAA